GTCTCAATTGTTTTTTTTGTTGTTGTTGTTCTAAATAACTTATTTATTCATCAGTGATTTGTTCCCGTTTTTGTTTTTGTTTTTTCTTTTTAAGCAATTTCAATACATGTCTAGTCTTTCAATGCTTTCTTCTTCAGATATTTTGATCATGAGTGAGCGATTTTTTAAAAATAATTATCCTGATTATAATGGTGAACAATATCTTGGTCCTGATAATCAAGTTTGTTATTATTATTATTATCCTTTTGTAATACAAAATAACTGTTTTTTTTTGTTGTTGTTTAGTTAGTTCCTCAATTAGGAACTGCTATAACTGAATGGATTGGACATTATGTACGTACACTTGAACAGAATCTCAATCAAACTGATCCAACTGATGGATCAGTTTATACTGGTATTGCAGGTAAAAAAACAAAAGAAAATCAAAATTTTCTTTTTTTTTAATTTAAAATATTAGGTATTGCATTACTCTACATGCGTCTTGCTCGACTTTTACCAGCTCAAAGTAATAATTATATATCTAAAGCAAAAACATTAATTGATTCAGCATTAAGACTACTTGATGGTAAAAAAAAAGAAAAGAGATTCACAATTATTATCTAATTATATATATATTAATTAAAAACTAGGACGAGTAATAACATTTTTATGTGGTGATTCAGGACCATTAGCAATTGCAGCAGTTATTGATTATAATCTTGGTGATCAAAAAACATCAGATAAATATATTCAAAAGTAAGCAAAATATATTATAAAAAAATAATTAAATGATTTTTTTTTTCTTAGAATTTTATCCATGAAGAAAAATGCATTAAGTCTTTCAAATCCAGATGAATATTTATATGGTCGAGCTGGTTATCTTTATGCATTAATGTTTCTTCGAAAAGAAATTGGACAACATATTATTGATGCTCAACATATTACTGATGTAAATAAAATAGAAATAAATTTTTTGAAAAAAAAAAAAAAAATTCAATTCTTTACATTCAGATATTTGAAACTATGATTAAATCAGGTGAAAAATATGCACAAAAAACAAATTCAAAATCTCCATTAATGTATAAATGGCATGATTCTGAATATTTGGGAGCAGCACATGGTATTTCTGGAATAGTTTATCTTCTTCTTAAAGTAAAAAAATGTTTAATTGAAAATTATTTTTTGTCAATATTTAAATTATTTTTTTGTAGGTAGCACAAAATGAATCATTTATTCATCTTCGATCATATGTTGATTCACATTTATTACCAACAATTGAATTTCTTAAATCAAAATGTTTATCAAGTGGTAATTATATGTCATCTAATGATAGTGGATCAGATAAACTTGTACAATGGTGTCATGGTGCACCTGGTTTTGTTTATTTATTTAATCAAGCATATGAAGTAAGTTTAACAAAAAAACAAAAAGTCAAATTTGATAAGAAAAACTATATTAATTATTTTGAATAAATAATCATTTTCAAAAATAAAGTACATAAAAAAAATCTGACATGCATGTAAATTATCATTATTGATTCAGTATAACAAATGTCTTAAATAAGAGATGTTAATTTATGAGAATTCTATATACTATTATTATCAGAATTAAATTAGTTGTTGTCACAGATGATGTTTTTGTTTTTTGATGGAACACGATCTGAATAGAATGTTAAAACATATGAGTAATAATTTGTTTTTTTTTTCTCATAGATCGTGATAGATAAAATCATAAGAATGTCACTGACCTTGATAGACAATTAATGACATCTTATTATCATATATGACCTACTTCCTTATTATATTTCTGGATGATTAAGTAAAAAGATAGTGAAAAAAAATACGTTCTAGAATAAGACAATATCCATTTGTGTTTTACATTTTACTCCCGCAGGCGGCATTGTGAAAACAATATTTTTATTTAATTAATTTCATAATGAAATTTCGTATGTAACAAGATACGTTTGATAAAGAATTTAGATTAGAGTTTGAGCTTACTGATAGTTGATTTATATACTATAGATAATCCGTAAGAACTAATAGTCAACATTTGTGAATAAGCAGGAAATTGAACTTCAAAATAAAAAAAAAAAAACAAAAAAAGGATTTTGATACTTTTTGATAAGAACGATGTATCTCGATTAAAGAAAACATCGTAGAGAAATATTAATTCTATTACTCTGAATAATTCAAATAGAATTCTAGGAAATTGAAATATTTTTAAGTTTCTTACAAAACTAAAAATCTATTTTCACCTTTCTTGAAAATAATATTGTATCTTTCTATGATTAAAAACCTTTAGAAATGTAATAAAAGAAGTAGCTCACACTTTAAATACTAAGAGATTTATTTATTTTTGTTATGTTAGATGACTGGTAATAGTTCATATATGCAACGAGCTTCATTGGCGGGTGATGTTGTTTGGGAACGTGGATTATTAACAAAAGGTTATGGTCTTTGTCATGGTGCAGCAGGTAATGGTTATGCATTTCTTGATCTATATCGTGTAACACATGATCCAAAATGGCTTCATCGAGCAATAAAAGTCAGTTTTATAAATTGAGATTTTGTATTAAAATATTTTTTATTTTTTATATGATTAGTTTGCTCAATTTTGTTTGGATTATGGAAAACATCATTTAGCACGAACACCAGATCGTCCATTCTCACTTTTTGAAGGTAAATATTATAATTTCTTTTTTTTTTCACTGAAAAATAAAATTTGAACTTTAATTTTTGTTTTGTAGGTTTGGCTGGAACAATTTATTTTATGGCTGATATACTTACTCCAGCATATGCTCGATTTCCAGCATTTGAATAATTAAGAAAAAAAAAAATTGACATTTTTCTTTTAATATTAGTTCAGCATATTATTGATCTGTTAAATCACTCATATACATATTTTTCTTCTAATTATGAATCTCAATAAAAACATAAATGTTGTTGTTTTAGATATAATGTCTATTCCAATGGATACATCATCATCATCATCACCAACAAAAAAAAAACGTAATGAATTAACAACAACATTAGCAACAGATTATATATCAGGATTTGATCTTATATCAATTGAAGGTTATCGTCAAGATGGACGTAAATCTGATGAATTACGTCATTTTCGTGTTTCATTTAATATTATACCTGATGCTGATGGTTCTTGTTATATGGAACATGGAAATATTAAATTACTTGCAACAATTTATGGACCATATGAAGGTGAATCTCGTTCAAATCAAGAACAAGCTATAATTACATGTGATTTTAGTATGACATCATATTGTGTTAGTGAACGTCGATTAAGAACATTTGGTGATATGAAAAGTCAAAAATTACAAATGGCTATACAAAGAGTTTTTCAACAAGCTATTATTACTGAAACATATCCAAAATCACAAATTGATATTTATTTAAAAATTTTACAATCCGATGGAAATGATTATAGTCCATGTGTTAATGCAACAACATTAGCATTGATTAATGCAGGTGAAAAGATTTATTAAAAAAACAAAAAAACTTTGCAGTTTCGAGTAGAATCTAATAGGTTTTTATCTATAGATAATGATAAATCGTATAATGAGAAGTAATTGAATATATTGAGAAAAAAAAATGAATCATCAAATAGATGATCATATATACTTAGGGCAAACCAACAGTTTGTAGAACGGTGTTTAAAGAACCTTGTCGGATAAGGTAACTTATTCAGAAATGAAAAACCAAATATACCATGTTGTAGAGCTTTTTGAAGTACGTCGAATGGTATATAGTAGATCCTGTTTTCATAAGACTTTGAAGGAACTAGAGTCAATTTACTGATAGACGACTACGCACCCATACTCACAACCTTACCTAAGTATGATAGGTTACTGAATATTGTGGTCCTTAGGATTAGTCGAAAGTATTTGTAAAATATTTTTTCTCACATACGATTTTGCAGAGTTTTTGATGGGCTACAACCTCATATATGTAGCATCTCCGGTCATCTTGTCAGCGTGGGTGTGGGTGTAGTCGCCTATCAGTAAATTGACTCGAGTTCCTTCAAAGTCTTATGAAAACAGGATTTACTATATACCATTCGACGCATCTCAAAAAGCGCTACAACATGGTATATTCGGTTTTTCATTTCTGAATAGGTTATCTTATCCGACAAGGTTCTTTAAACACCGTTCTACGAACTTTTGGTTTGCCCTAAGTATATATTCACAATGAACAAGGTTTAACGTTAATACAGCGTTTCATTTCAGTGTCATCAGTAACAAGTAAAATTGATTAGATTTTAAAGTTGTTTATGAAAGAGACAAAATAAAAGTATGAGAATTGTATTGTGACCATCAAAATATCTATCGAATGTTGATTAGCTTCAATCGGATGCTGAGTATAGTCAATCAGATTCGATTGTGAACAGTCATATCATATAATAAATAATATGAAGGCAAATATTGCCTATCTCAAGGTTTCATTCTTTACATATTGTGATTCTATGTTTGAGTAATCTATTGAATAATTTATTCATAATAGAAGATTAAATTGATAGAGTTTACTTAATCTTTCGTGACTTTTTTTTTCATTTAGACATATATTAATAAGATTGATTTGTATAAAAAATTATTTATTTCTTATGAAATATAAATAATCGATTATTTTTATTTGAATAGGCATTCCAATGAAAGATTTTGTTTGTTCATCAACAGTTGGTTATATACAAAATAAATGTATTATTGATCTTAATCAACAAGAAGAACAACAAAAATCACCTCAATTAACATTAACAATTATGCCACAACGTGATGATATTGTTGCATTAACATGTGAATCACGTGTTCATCATGATATTTATAATGAAATGTTAGATGCAGCAACACGTGCTAATTTACAATTATTTAATTTAATGAAACAAGCTGTTGTTAATCAATTGAAAACTGTTTTACATGTTTTATAAATAAAAAAAAAAAAAAAAGAAATGAAAACATAAAATAGTATGAGTTTTATTTCTTAGGTTTTTGTTCTTGATTTTTCAGATATGTAATGTTATTATTCGGAAATAAGTTTTATATTATTTTTATATCATTATGGATATTTGGACTTTATTGTATATTAACAACATTTCATTCAACATCAAATAATGATAAAATATTTGAAGATCGTATTGAACAATTACAAAATGAAATTGAAACACTTCGACAAAAACTTGTTCAAGTACAATCTGAAAAGTAAATGAAATTAAAAAAAGAAAATTTTACTAATAAATATTGATTATTGACTAACAATTAAATTCAATAGAATTTATTAGTATTATTATTCAGATCATTTTTATAAAATTAATATAAACTCAAACGGCAAATATCAATTCGAATAGTTCTCTCTGAAACTAAAACCAATCCTCTTCCTACTACCAGAGATGTTCATCGCTTCCGCGGCGCTGCTCAAGAAATTTTGTTGACTTTGGACCTTATGATTTGTCCGAACAGGAGTAGCTCCTGAAAATTCGTGAGTTTTAAAAATTTTCTTCCTAAGAAACCGACCGCTATCGCGACCGTATTTAAAAAATCTCACCGCGTCGCCACCGCATCGCGATGATTTTGCAAAAAATCTATCGCCATGAACATCTCTGCCTACTACGTAAGTAAAACTCTTGATATAAGATTAGTTAATTGTAAATATATTTGACATTCTAATATAAGAAATTTTATTAAGAACTTGATTAATGTAAAATTCAATAAAATTATTATATTTCAAAGTTGTTAATAGAATATTAATTCTGTTTTAGTGATAATACTCAATGTCAAGAATTACAAAATGAATTAAAACGTGTTAAACGTCAATTACTTTCGAAAAATAGTGGTACTACATCTCGTGGTAAGTTTATCATTTAAATTTTTATATTAGATGTTTGTTTACATTTACTATCGATATAATATACAATCATGCCGAACAATTTACCAATAATGTTTTATTTTTTTTCTGTTTGTGAAATATTTAGATGAACCTAGTTTGGAATATGAACAATTACGAAGAAAAATTGAAAGTCAAACACGTGAATTAACTTATTTTACAACTAATCAATTCAATAAAATATCTGAAAAATTATCTGATGATGATAAAACAAAATGGGAAAATGTTATTTTACGATTTGCTGATCAAAGTAGGTCAGTTCTTATTAAAAGAAAAACAAAATTAAATCAATACATTTTATTATTTGATTTTTTTTTTTTTGTTTTTCGTTTTTTAGAGTTCTTCTAGCTTCAATTCGAAATTTAACTGAAGTTGATGGTTATAATTTATGGCGTGAACGTGAACATGAAAGTCTTTCAAAATTAATACAAACACGTTTAAATGTATTACAAAATCCATCAAAATCATGTACAGATGTTAAACGTATTACATGTAATATAAATAAAGGTTGTGGTTATGGTTGTGAAATTCATCATGCTATGCATTGTTTTCATATTGCTTATGCACTTGGTCGACCTATGATTCTTTTCTCTGGTATAATATCATAGATTTTTTTATGAAATTTATAAATAAAAATTTAATTTTTTATTTTTTAGATGGATGGCGATATAATCCTGGTGGATTTGATCAAGTATTTAAACCATTAAGTCACAATTGTACTAGATCATCTGCTACTAGTGCATCATCTTGGAGTAAGTTTTAATTGTTTATAGATATAATATTAGAGAAAATGAAATGTCACGAATATTTTCTACAGTAAACAGAACAATAGACAAAAATTTTTTCGATCTATAAAAATCATTATCTATTTATTAATACTATATGAAGAATGTTGTAATTCTATAAGTAGATTCTTTAGTTTTTATATAAAATATCTAAAGAATTTTTTTTTTGTTTTCTAGGTAATTATGAAACAGCTGATGTAGTTGAAATTCCATTAATTGATAATATTTATCCAAGAAAAGATTTTATGCCAATGGCTATTCCTGAAGATATATCTGAAAGACTTATTCGTTTACATGGAAATCCATTTGTTTGGTTTACTGGACAATTAATGAAATATTTATTAAGACCACAAGAATGGTTAATTGAATTTATAGAAAAAAAATATAACAGTATTAAATTTCAAACACCAATTGTGGGGTAAAACAATTAATTAGAAATTTTTTTTAGTTGATTTAAAAATTTTTTTTTTTTTTTTAATTAAAGAATACATGTACGACGAACAGATAAAGTTGGAAGTGAAGCAGCATTTCATGATATAACAGAATATATGAAATATGTTGAAGATTATTATATTATTTATCAATATCAAAATCCAAATTTAAAATTTACAAAACGTGTTTTTCTAGCAACTGATGAACCAAGTGTTTTTAATGATGCTCGATCAAAGTATATTTAAATTATGTTCAGAATTATCATTTTGTTTTTTTTTTAAATTTATAAATAGATATCCGGAATATATATTTTATGGTGATACAGCTGTAGCACAATCAGCACAATTGAATACAAGATATGGAACAGAATCATTGAAAGGTGTCTTATTAGATGTTCATTTTCTTTCGTTATGTGATTATTTGGTTTGCACATTTTCTTCACAGGTATAAAACTTTTTTTTTAAATATAAAATGAACTTTGAACCAGAAATGTCCATGATGGCGCTACCGCCACCGCAGTAGGGGCAGCATTATTTTTCGAGAACATTTTAAAACTGTGTGAATTTATAGGATTTCTATGTTTTTCAAATGAAATAGCTTGCGATTGAATGAATCTAATGGACATGTATCAATATTTTCTAGTTAAATACAGTTGCAGCAGTGAAATTCAACAGTGTTTTGAAAACTATCGCGGCAGCGGCGCGATAGCTTTTCTTCATTTTGAGGCCGCGGCGCGATAGCTTTTCTGCATTTTGAGGCAGCGGCAGGTTTTCAACCGCGATGGACATCTCTACTTTGACCATAATATGATTGACAGACATCCGTAGAGCAAAAAAAAGTACAGGAATATAGATGATGATCTTAATTATCTAATGAAAACGTTTTGTATAAATAGTTGTTAGATTTTTTTTATTATAACTACTTATGATAAAATAATCTAAATGATCTATTAAATAAATGCGGAAACTTCGGATTTAAATCCGAGAGTTATGTGTACTTCAAAAAGTGAATCATACAAATCAGTCATCCTAGACTGTCTGAATATCAAAATTATACTGTGAAATCTACCATTTAAAATGTTGATTTCTATTGCGCGTTGCCAAACCAATAGGACATGGGACCGAATACAGCTCAAGTTTGAACTCTTTCCCTTGATTTACCCTAAGAAAGTCGTTTTCCCTATAACTTCATTTCTATTGGTCACTGCACAACTAATAGTATTTCGATGGAAGTGCAGTACACATTCGAGTTCTCCATATCTGAAAACCTCGAAGTATCATCAGTGTGACCGGAAGATAAAGCTCTATTTGTGGATCAATTAGATCGTGGACAAAAATATAACCTAGTTCTCTTTAATTATCCTTGTCATAGGTAAGTCAACCTTCTTGTTTCTTTATGTTTTATATATCATTTTGTAGTTCTTGAAATTCTCTATCGAATGGTATATAATAGTTGGGGTTTTAATTGACTATAATAGGAAAAGTCTTTTACGAAAGTCGCGATGGGTCCATTTTTCCACAGAAAGCTATAGGGCAAAATGGGTATTTTTGCAATAACTCAGGAACGGCTCGGCCGGTCCTTCTCATCTTCGAACTCGACCGAGAAATTGTCAAGACTAAGCTGTGTAGAAATTTTCATCGCTATCTGACTCTGCTGTCAAAGGTTATCATGTAAACAGCCAACCGGACGGACGGACACACTGACTATTCTATAGTGTACTCACTTTTTGAGTACACAAAACTATGATTCAGTTCAAAACTAATATCAGATTCAGAATCAGCGTTAAAAACTGAGTCGATTTATGTATTTTGTGAATAATTATGAGCAAAAAAGTTTTTTTCGAAAAATCCCCGTACCCCCCCTCAGGGATGGTCTGGTCAAAAATCACAATTTTTTCGATAACTCAGCCATTTCTTGACGGATCCTTCTCATCTTCGAACTCGACCGAGATATTGTCAAGACTAAGCTGTGTAGAAAATTTCATCGCAATCTGACTCTCCTTTCGAAAGTTATCGTGTAAACGGACGGACGGACGGACGGACGGCCGGCCGGACGGACACACAGACCGATTTTAGTAGTGTACTCACTTTTTGAGTACACTAAAAATGATATGTTTTAAAATTTAGATTTGTCGTGTTGCATATGAAATAATGCAACAACGTGTAATTGATGGTGCATGGCGTGTTCAACCACTTGATGATGTTTATTATTTTGGTGGTCAAAATGCTCATAATCAACGAGCTGTTATATCTCATAAAGCAATTTGGCCAAATGAATTTAGTTTTGAACGTGGTGATATTATTGGTACAGAAGGAAATCATTGGGATGGGTTTTCAAAAGGATCAGATAAAACAAATAGTCAATCAGGTCTTTATCCAACATATAAAACAGAAGAAATAGTTAATGTTGCAAAAATGTATACCTATCCTGAAGTACGAGTTAATAATTAATGAATTTTAATTTTTTTACAAAAAAAAGAACTCAAAACATTCCTTTAATTGAGATTATTTTTTCTTTTAATGTGCATATATGCATGCACATAAAATTAATACTTGTACTCTGATTATCAGTCAACTTTGGTGTTGGTATTTTTTTCTTTTGTCCTTCAGTCAATTACTCGTTTTATATTTGCGACATGTTTTTTTTTTTTGTTATTATGTGAAGTTTTTCGTTTTACTCCGTTACTAATTACTATAATGCGTTCAGCTGATAAAAATAAACGAAATGTTAGAGAATGAATTATGATCTATTTGGCTGTTTATTTGTCTGTTTGTTCCTAATATGTGCTTATTTATATTTTTTAAATATTCAAATTAACATAATTATTGATTACTTGTAAGAAATTGAATATGTGTTTTAGATATTGTAGCAATCAATAAACGTTAAGTTCATCTGTTTGAAAGATTTTGCTTTCCTAATTGAATATCATGTTGTCTCATTTTTTTTGTATTACTATGAAAATAAGAAAAGAAAAAGTAACTGTTTGTATATTCGTTGAAGTGTTATCATGCATATATACAAATCATATTCAGCTTTTATTGTTGGACTATAAATATTCCTGTTGTCGTTGCTCAAATCGTAATAGTTTATTACTACCAATAAAACAGTCTCTTAATGATAAACATTGTCTCCGTTTCGAATGTTTTCGAATTATTGACATTGTTACTGTCTTTTGATATTTTCACTTCTTTTTTTTTTGAATGAAGTACAATAGTATGTATGATAAAATATGACAACATTACGACATATTATATTGAGAATATGTTGTTGTATACAGTCAATAGTACTGGATGTTTTTGTAATGACACAATCCGATATAGAAAACAAAAATTTATAGTAGAACACGATGAATAAACGTCCGTTTACGAAACTTTGAATAATTTATAACTTGTCCACTTCGTTAGTCAACATTAGATGAGTACTTTGTTCGTTTTTTTATTTACATCTATTCTACAAAGATAATGTGAACAGTTGATGACAGTGTCGAAAACATTTTTTTAAAATATCTTCTGGAATGTTGTAAGCACAATGAAGTGATGAAAATTACTTGTCTTAACTTGACAACTTCAAAAAAAATCTCTTCTTTCAGTTGATGTTCTATATATGATTGCAAAACATGTCTATTGATCATTTTAGGTTTCGACAAGAAAGATTAACTGTGAAATAAAAAAGAGAGATAATAACAGTTTTCTCTCTGCTTGATTCGAAACTAAACATAAAACCATGAAATTGTTCTATTCAGCGTATAAAAATTTGTTAAATTTTATCTTTGCGATTCTCTATATCGATAATCAATAGATAAAGAAAACCTAATGTAACCAAATGTGGACTTAGCAAATTTGAAACACAAACAATCATACACGAGAAAACATAATCAACTAATCCAATAATTTCATAGTATAAATCTCATCTATGTTTTTAATGTATTTTGAAGGTTTGAACATTCATTTAACTTCAAATACGAAAATAGATATAATCAGTAAAACTAGAAAAGTTTACAATGTAACAAAGAAAACCTTTGATGTTGATCAGAGTACGAAAATCATACAACCCATTGAAGTCTTCTATTTTATGGTAACTCAAATTAAAGGTACCGGCCTCCCTCTTTTTTGACCATTTCTAGTTCTCAAAGAGGATACAATCGATCCGCCTGAAATTTTTACCACAGTTAGAGCATCTAAAATAAGTTTACACGTGTTCGAGGAAAAAAGTTTTAAGAAGGGTTTTTGTGATGTCTTTGGGAAAACTCTAGTTTTCCATAGGTCCGCATCGGGCCGCATTACGACCCCCATCAAATTTTATCCGATTATGCTGAAAATTTTTTTGGAGATACCTAAGACTACATCTCAGAGGTAGTTTTGAGCTTTTCTAAAAATTTCGCTTTCTTTTCTTTTTATGAGAGAAATACCGAAAGGTTCGGATCTAAAATTTGGGTCTTGGCGTCCACAACCCTATAGATCTGGATAGGACGGTCCAAAATGGAAACGGCTGATTCTAACTCTGGAGAATACTTCCAAGTATCTGCGGTAAAAATTTCAGTCCGATCGGACAAAGTTAGAGGGGGGATCGTAAGCAGGCCCGATTGAGAGAATTATAGTTTTACGTTACGCTAAGTAAAGGAAAAAAAAGTTCCTTAATTCAGTAACTCTGTAATAGTAAGGTGTTTAGAGTCGAATGATCTCTCCAATTGCAGATAACACTTGAGGCTATCATACCCTAATTCGAAATCGAGTTTTTGATTGAAATAGAGAGGGTGAGAATCCTTAAGGTGAAATATGAAGAGGCGCCAATCTCTTAATGAGAAACGGCAAGTACTACAATCAATTGTGTTACACAGTTACTCAGATACATTTGAAAACGAAATATTTATATAAATTAATGTGACTAGTAGCTCTAATATACAGTTATTAGTTAATATTTACTTTCACTAATCTTATTCGAATAGTTGATTTAATACTTTGAGAAGTATCTGAAAAACTATTTTGCTTTTCGAAATGTTTCATACAAAACTAAAAGAGTTTTCGAAAAATCGTTCTTTTTTTCTCTTCATTATTTTGATGAAATTCAAATAAAATGTCGATTGAATTTAATCATTAAAGTCTTCAAAAATTAGATGAAAAGTTATTAATAATTTTTCTTTTCTATTTAGATACATATTCATCAGAAATATATAATAAATGATATTCGAAAGAAATTAAAAAAAAATCTTATTTTATTTTCAAATCTTAGCTTGAAAAATAATATGTTAATAATTTGTATTAAAAATAATGTAGAAATCTTTCTTTTAATCAAGTTCGACTATCTTTTTCTTTTTTGTTGGTCTTATATTGATGGACATAACTTTCACTCTAAGGATTTTATTGAATTCAGAAATCTTTAATGTATTTTCAGTATCACCATTGGAATAAATCGTTATAGTTGAGTCAGTTTAAAAATTTTTTGAATGTTACGGAAACTGTGTTCAGAAATCATCTGAAGTAAAAACTCATACATGATGTCGATAGAAACGAGTCTCAAACTTCAAAAGTTCCTATTAATATCATGTGACAATTGTACAAAAGTTTTAGTTGGAAAGAATTTATTTTTCTGAACCAATAGAATCATATTATCAAATATTAATCGATGTCTAATTAGTTTTTTACGTGTTAACTATCGTTACAGATATCAATCATTTTCTTTTTTACAATGTTTTACATATAACACAGTATAATTGTAAAACATGAAGTAATTGAAGAATCTTATCTTATATAATATTTCGTAGCTTCCTAATTGCAACCAAAAATTAAGCCAATTAAGAAAAAAAAGTGGTCGCAATTAGGAACACACAAATTTACGTTGATCTCACTTTTAATGCGTTTCTGAATTGCGACCACTTTTATTAGTTAGCTACTAATCAACAGTTTGATTGAAAACAATATTTATTAACAAAACAAACAGATAACAAGAAATTTATTCTTCATCACTAGTATCTTTGGCATCTTTTATAATATCGATATAACGATGAGAAATAGTTCGTAAAACTTTTTGATAGTCACCAAAATTTTTATCTTGAAGATATTTTTTTTTTGCTGACATAAGTTTATTATCATCTTTTATATATCTTCCTTTTCTTAGTCTTGTTGTTCGTTTTTGTGTTTGTTCTTGTTCTCACGACTATATATGTAAACTTTATCAATAGAACAGAACTCATAATCTATTATGTGCATAACTAATTAATAAAAGTGGT